TAGCCAACATGGTGAAACCCCATCTCTACTAAAAATACCAAAATTAACGAAGTGTGGTGGCGGGCACCTGTAATCCCAGCTACTCAGGAGGCTGAGGCAGGAGAATCGCTTGAACTTGGGAGGCAGAGGTTCCAGTGAGCCGAGATCGCACCAGTACACTTCAGCCTGGGTGACATAGAAAGACTCTGTCTCAAAAAAGAAAGGGGGGGGGCTGGGCGTGGTGGCTCACGCCTGTAATCCCAGCACTTTGGGAGGCCGAGGCGGGTGGACCACAAGGTCAGGAGATTGAGACCATCCTGACTAACACGGTGAAACCCCGTCTCTACTAAAAATACAAAAAAAGAAAATTAGGTGGTCGAGGTGGCGGGCGCCTGTAGTCCCAGCTACTTGGGAGGCTGAGGCAGGAGGATGGCATGAACCCGGGAGGCGGAGGTTGCAGTGAGCCAAGATCGCACCACTGCACTCCAGCCTGGGCGACTGAGCAAGACTCGGTCTCAAAAAAAAAAAAAACAGAATAGTATGTTTCTCCCATGGTTGTGACATTCGAGTGAGCCAGTACACATAAAACAGTGCCTGGTTTTTTGTAGGGTTCATTGACTTTTCCAGAATCTCCCAACAGAACCAGGCCCTGGACTCCAGGTGTTTACTCCCAGCTCAGTGCTTTTTCCTTTCTGTGAAGCTGACCCTGCTAGTAGCTTCCTTGTACCTGCCAAATTCTGTCCTACAAACAGTGTCCCATGAGTCCTGGCTGTGGGAACAGGGCATTTGGCCTGGAACAGCCTCAGGAGTGTGATGGGATCTTGACCTTGGACTTGGCTGGCCTGTCCCAGGGCAGAGGGAGTGGGGTGCGCTGTGTGGCCCCAGCTGAGGAATCAGCTAAGGGATCCAGGGAGGCAGGTGAGGTGCAGCGTGAGGAGGTGACTCCAGCAGCGCCACCTCGCTGGGCCTGTGGTTTTGAGCGTTCCTTAGAGTCAATTTTCTTTAGGTGTGAAATGAGACTTACAGCAGCCCAGCACCTGGCGCGTCGTGAGTGCGGGGTTGAAACTAGCTGGGTATTAGCCGTGGTCCCTGGTGAGTGACTCAACTCCTTCCAGCCCGGACTGCACCTGCTCATCTGCCAGCTGAGGGCTGGGGTTGGAGATGGAGACAGAGTGAGGAGGTACAGGAGCTTGGAAACTTGGAGCTGGAATTTTTTTCCTGAAGGGGCTCAGAGTCCTCATCTGTTAGTAAGGATTATTCCTCTCTTTCCTTCATTGGGTGTTCTCGAGCGCCTGCTGTGAGCCAGGCCCTGTTCTAGGCTCTAGGGTTATAGCAGCCAAAACAGAGCCCTGCCTCCTGGGAGTTGCGTTCTGGCATGGGAGAAAGGTGATGGATGAATATTAGGCCTAGAGGCAGGTGGTAGCAGGTGCTCAAAAGAACACAAGTGGAGTTCAGTGAGTGAATTGTGTGGTATGTGAATTACATCTCAATAAAGCCACAGAGCGAAGGAGCTTGCATAGATAAGTGGGGAGCTATTTAGATAGGGTCACTGAGGACGGCTTTTAGGAGGAGATCTGAAATAAACGGGGGAGCAGCAAGCGCAGAGGTCCTAAGCAGAAGTGCGGGGCATGTCTGGAACGCCCAAGGAATGGCATGAGGGCCAGTGTGCCTAGGGCAGAGTAGGGGAGGGGAGAAGTCAGAGAGGGACAGGCCAGCACCTGTGAGGGCTGAGCTGTCAGGGGGTGGGGGGTGGGGGGTGGAGTGCAGCCCAACAAGTGTCAGCGAATCCCCTGGAGGCAGAGCCCAGGGACAAGGTGGTCCAGGTGAGAGGGGATGTTGGATGGGGCTAGGGGTGAGGGGGTGAGAAGTGACTGGACTCTGGGTGTATGTCACTGGGAGCTGGGTCAGGATTTCATGGACAGCCCAGCAGCCGCTCCTACGGCTCTGGTAGGCTCCTCTGGGAGCACCCAGCGAGAAGTCATCCAGGGCCCAGCCCTCTGGAAGCTCAGTCGTGGGAGTTGCCAGATTTTCTTCTGATCATGACACTCTTACGATGACTTGGACTTGTGACCCCTGCACGAAGGCAAAGACCTGAGGGCCATCGACTCGGGACAGTCTTCCCTGTCTTAGTAGCTGTTTTTTTTTTTTTGGCTCATGCATAACAGTGGTAGGGACTTAGTGCCCTTTGGACTTTTTGTTTTTCTTTTCTTTTTGGTTGTTTTTACAAACAGCTCATTGAGATAAAGTTCACAGTTCGCTCATTGAAGGATGTAATTCAGTGCTTTTCAGCATGGATTGTGCAGCTATCACCACAATCAAATGTTAGAACATTTTCGTTACCCCAAAAAGAAGCCCCGACTGGCACGGTGGCTCACGCCTGTAATCCCAGCCCTTTGGGAGGCCAAGGCAAATGGATCTCTTGAGGTCAGGAGTTCGAGACCAGCCTGGCCAACATGGTGAAACCAAGGCTTTCCTAAAATTAGAAAAAATGAGCTGGGCGTGGTGGCGGGCACCTGCCGTTCTAGCTACCCGGGAGGCGGAAGCAGGAGAATCACCTGAACCTGGGAGGCAGAGATTACAGTGATCTGAGATAGTGTCACTGCACGCCAGCCTGGCTGACAGAGCAGAGAGCAAGACTCTGTCTCAAAAAAAAAAAAAAAAGGAAACCCTGTACCTATTTGCAGTGAGTCCCATTCCCCCAACTCCTCAGCGCTGATCTCCTCTCGGCCTCTGTGGATTTGCCTATTCTGGACATTGCATAGAAATGGGATTGCACAATGGGTGACCTTTTGTGACTGGCTTTGGTCGCTTAGCAGAATGTTTTTGAGGCTCGTCCATGTTGTAGCAGATAGCAGAACTTTATTCCTTTTCATTGCTGAATAATATTCCACTGTGTGGATGGTCCACATTTTGTTGATCTGTTCATCCATTAAGGACCTTTGGGTTGTTCCCACCTTCTGGCTATTATGAATAATGCTGCTTGGAACGTTTGTGTACAAGTATTTGAGTACCTGTTTCCAATTCTTTTGGGTATATACCTAGGAGTGGAATTGGTAATTCATTGGCCATGTAGTAATTATTTAAAACTTGAGGCCGGGCACAGTGGCTTACGCCTGTAATCCCAGCACTTTGGGAGACTGAGGCGGGTGGATCACCTGAGGTTGAGAGTTTGAGACCAGCCTGACCAACGTGGAGAACCCCATCTCTATTAAAAATACAAAATTGGCCAGGCACGGTGGCTCAAGCCTGTAATCCCAGCACTTTGGGAGGCTGAGACGGGCAGATCACGAGGTCAGGAGATCGAGACCATCCTGGCTAACATGGTGAAAACCCATCTCTACTAAAAAATACAAAAAACAGCCGGGTGCGGTGGCTCAAGCCTGTAATCCCAGCACTTTGGGAGGCCGAGACGGGTGGATCACGAGGTCAGGAGATCGAGACCATCCTGGCTAACATGGTGAAACCCCGTCTCTACTAAAAAATACAAAAAACTAGCCGGGCGAGGTGGCGGGCGCCTGTAGTCCCAGCTACTTGGGAGGCTGAGGCAGGAGAATGGCGTGAACCCGGGAGGCGGAGCTTGCAGTGAGCTGAGATCCGGCCACTGCACTCCAGCCTGGGCGACAGAGCAAGACTCCGTCTCAAAAAGAAAAAAAATACAAACTTAGCCGGGCGTGGTGGCACATGCTTGTTAATCCCAGCTACTCGGGAGGCTGAGGCAGGAGAATGGCGTAAACTCGGGAGGCGGAGCTTGCTGTGAGCTGAGATCCGGCCACTGCACTCCAGCCTGGGCGACAGAGCAAGACTCCGTCTCAAAAAGAAAAAAAATACAAACTTAGCCGGGCGTGGTGGCACATGCTTGTTAATCCCAGCTACTCGGGAGGCTGAGGCAAGAGAATCGCTTGAACCTGGGAGGTGGAGGTTGCAGTGAGCTGAGATCGTGCCATTGCACTCCAGTTGAAGAACCTGATTTCTCTACATTTGTTTCTTTACTTTTTTTTTTTTTTTTTTTTGAGATGGAGTCTTGCTCTTGTCCCCCGGGCTGGAGTGCAATGGCGCGATCTCGGTTTACTGCAACCTACCTCTGCCTCCCAGGTTCAAGCGATTCTCTTGCCTCAGCCTCCCAAGTAGCTGGGATTACAGGCGCCTGCCACCATGGCTGGCTATTTTTTTGTATTTTTAGTAGAGACAGGGTTTCACCATGTTGGCCAGGCTGGTCTCGAACTCCTGACCTCAGGTGATCCGCCTGCCTTGGCCTCCCAAAGGGCTGGGATTACAGGGGCGAGCTACTAGGCCCGACCTACTACTTGTTATAGTCTGTCCTTTCCATGTCAGCCAGCCTAGTATGGGTGAAGTGGTATCTTGTGGTTCTGATTGGCATTTCCCTGATGGCTAATGATGTTGGTCATCCTTCCACGTGCGGATGCAGTCTGGTCCACGCTGGAGTGCCCACACCCGTCTCTAAATGAATGGCCCTGAGGATGGGAGGTGAAGAGTTGTGGGCACTGATATTTTAGAGAGCGAGGTCTTCGTACTGGCCACCACCTCGAGAGGAACAAATTGCTTATTTACTTTCTTTTTTTTTCTTTTTTTGAGATAGAGTCTTACTCTGTCACCCAGGCTAGAGTGCGGTGACACAATTTCAGCTCACTGCAACTTCCGCCTCCCAGGTTCAAGCGATTCTTCTGCCTCAGGCTCCCACGTAGCTGGGATTACAGGCATGTGTCACCACGCCCAGCTAATTTTTTTGTATTTTTAGTAGAGCCTGGGTTTCGCCATGTTGGTCTGGAACTCCTGACTTTAGGTGACCCACCTGCCTTGGCCTCCCAAAGTGTTGAGATTACAGGCGTGAGCCTCCGTGCCTCGCCAATTCCCTTATTTCTAAAGGTTAGCAGGTTGGTTCACCTCTGAGGTATGGCCCACTTGACCTTAGAAGTGAGCTCGCTGCTAAGCTGGGTTGTGTTTGAGGGGGTGGGGTTTGGAGCTCTGTTGGGTGGTTACCTCAGTCCTGTTTACCCCTGCAGAAGAAAGACCCAGCCCAGTTCCTGCAGGTACATGGCCGAGCTTGCAAGGTGCACCTGGATTCTGCAGTCGCCCTGGCCGCTGAGAGCCCTGTTAATATGTAAGACTCATACGGGAGGCAGGGGAGTGTCTGTGACTGAAGACTGGGAGTCAGAACCAACCTGGGGTGGTGTAGAGTCTGGAGCAGAGACTGAAGTATGGACAGATGTTTGGGGACTCAGAGGCAGGGAAGGCGTGACCCACCTGTGAAGGTGATAGTCACAGGGTGTTAGAACAATGAGCAGGGGTTGGGGTGGAGGCCCCAGAGTAGCGGTCCTGGTTGGAGGACTTAGAAATGGGTGGAGCCAGGGCCAGAGGCCCCAAGGAAGCAGAGAGTAGGTTGCCAGACCAGGGCTGTCTCAGGGTGCCTGAGGCCCACCCCTCAAATACCCACTAGGACCTGGTTCAAGTTCCCCACTATTGCTTGGTTCTGAGAAATGGAGTCCTGGTGTCCCCAGGGGCAGTCAGATGACTGGCCCGTTTCAGGTCCCAGGAGCCTGAATGTGGATTCAGGGAGGCTTGCAGCAGAAGGGACTGAGAGCTGGGGGTTGAGGTGAGGGCCATGGCATGGGGACCAAAGCGGGCTGAGGGCCAGGCTTCCAAGCCTCAGCTGGCAGGGAGCAGGCGCTTTGTGTCCAGGGCAGTGTGGACGCTGAGGTTCTTGCTTTCCTGCTCCCCTCCCACTTCAGGATGCCCTGGCAGGGGGACACCAACAACATGATCGACCGATTCGATGTCCGTGCCCACCTGGACCACATCCCCGACTACACCCCCCCACTGCTCACCACCATGTAAGCCGCCTCCCAGAGGGCTGCCAGGCACAGTATCATACCCAGGAGCCCCTGTTCTTTTCCCAGCTTGCCTGTCACCTTCCTAGGAGCCCCTCCTATTTGGTACCGCCCTGAGCCTGAGGGGGATGCCCCATTTCCCTTCCTGCTGGCTTGGGGTGGGATCCACCCCTTCCCTCTGATTTCAAGGTCTCGCCCTCCCCTAAAGCTCCCCAGAACAGGAGTCGGACGAACGGAAGTGTAACTACGAGCGCTACCGAGGCCTGGTGCAGAACGACTTTGCCGGCAGTGAGTGATCTGCAGGGGGACGAGGGGCGTGGGGTTTGGGGGCCCTGGAGCCTGGAAGACATAAATAAGTTTGGGAAGAAAAGTTTTATCCACATACTTTCTACTAAAGGGTCTTGGGTTCCGGCTCCAGCTCTACGATAGACTCACTTTGCCTGCATCTCTTTCCTCTTCAGGGCCTCTGTCTCTGCATTTGGTGTAGGGGATGTCTGCTGAATTGGTCGTTCCCAGCAGGGTCACGTCCATATACCATGCCTTCTGACTCTGTGGTCCTTTTTTCTTTAAAGAGTAGAGAAAATAGCAAGAATATGTTTTTATTTTTATTTTTAAATTTTTAAAATTTTTATTTATTTATTTATTAGAGGCGGAGTTTCATTCTTGTTGCCCAGGCTAGAGTACAGTGGTACGATCTCTGCTCACTGCAACCTCTGCCTCCTGGGTTCAAGTGATTCTCCTGCCTCAGCCTCCTAAGTAACTGGGATCACAAGTGCCATCACCCCCAGCTAATTTTTTGTAGTTTTAGTAGAGACAGGGTTTCACCATCTTGGCCAGGCTGGTCTTGAACTCCTGACTGTGTGGTCCACCTACCACGGCCTCCCAAAGTGCTGGGATTACAGGCGTGAGCCACCGCGCCTGGCCATCACCCCGTTTTACAGACAAGGATGTCGAGGGGGAACACCCTGTCCAAGGACCTGGGATTCTCCACGTGTCCTTAACCGCTGCTCTCTGCTGATGGAAAGCTCTTAACTCACCTACCAAGAATTAGAGATTCCCTTTCTTGGGGTTCCCTGTGGAATTAAGGGGAGGATGGAGTTCTCTGCTGGGTTTGTGCCTTACTACCTGGTGGGTCTTAGTTTCCTCTTCGAGAATCGTGGTGGTGATGATTTTGTCGCATGGGGTGGTTGTGAGAGTTGAGTGAGGTGATGTGTATAAAACCCCAGCACTGAACCTGGCACAGTCAGCCCTCCATGTGGGTCTGCTGGTCTGGTATTTGTTTATTTCTAAGATAGATGCTTTTTTGATTTTCTAAAATCAGAGGCTGCCAAAATTCTAGTGATCACCGAGGCCTTAGAATCAGGGACATGTGGTATAATGGATACTGTTTTTGCCATCATTCCAGGCCACATAGATTCCTGGTGGTAGAGCCAGGGTTCCCTTAGTTTTGCCTCACTCTGCATTTATTCATTCACTTCCACAAACAGTCATTGAGCACATGCGGTGTGGCAGGTGCTGCTGTGGGATCAGTGGCATGGTAGGGGAGAGGGCAGCAGCTCTATACTCATGTCAGTGACGCCAGTTGCAAACCAAGATAATGTGACAGACAGTGCACCATTCTCTGAGAAAAATAGGACAGAAGTCCTGGACCAAGGCTGGGGTCAGTGATGTCTGGATAGAGGCTCCCTAGGAGGCACGGGTAGGCCACAGGATTCCAGGCCGAGAGCAGCCTGTGCAAAACCCTGTGTCAGCCAGGACTGTGGGCACACTGGAGGGGCAAAGAGCAGGCCCGCGTGACCGGAGCAGGGAGAGCGAGGGAGCTTGTGCAAGGCAGGGTCAGCAGGGCCCCTCCTGGGCTTTGGAGACAACAAGTAGAAATGGAGTATCTGCTAGAGCAAAGAAGGGCCATGCTACATCCCCTTCTGGCCCACCAGCCCACCCACCTCTTGTTCCAGATAGAAAAACTCAGGCCAGCCGGGCACAGTGACTCATACCTCTAATTCCAGCACTTTGGGAGGTCGAGGTGGTGGATCACCTGAGGTTGGGAGTTCGAGACCAGCCTGACCAACATGGAGAAACCCTATCTATACTAAAAATACAAAATTAGCTGGGTGTGGTGGCACATGCCTGTAATTCCCAGCTACTTGGGAGGCTGAGGCAGGAGAATCGCTTGAACCCGGAAGGCGGAGGTTGCGGTGAGCCAAGATCGCACCATTGCACTCCAGCCTGGGCTACAAGAACGAAACTCCATCTCAAAAATAATACAGACAAAGAAAAACTGAGGCCCAGGGAGGGAAGGAAGGAAGGGGACTCACCACCCATGGTCCCACAGCAAGTCAGGCACACGTGTCTCACTGCAGGGAAGATCAGGAAGGCTCTGGTACATTGTTGAGTCCTCTAAGCTGGGTGTTAAAACGAGTCACGGAGAGGCTTGCAGTGGAGTGACCTGTGCAGTCAGTGGCGTGTGGCGCTCAGGAGCAGGTTTTGGTTCTGAGGGGTCCAGCCAGAGGCCTCCAGAAACAGTTAGAATGGTGGTAGAGTGTCCAAGTACCAGGCTAGGCACTCACTCTGCCTGTGGTCCCATTTTACGGAAAAGGAAACCGAGGCACAGATGTGCTGTCACTTGACCAAGGTCGTGTGTCCAGTGAGTGGTGTGTCCAAGGCTCTGCTGCAGTTGCTTGTGTCCCACCAGACACAGTTTGATTATCTGGAAGTGGTGATTGCCCCAAGGTGCACTGGGGTTGCACCTGTCTTCCTGCTTCACCGCACTCTGATGTTCTCCCACTGAATTCCTAGTGTCCCCAACCCACTCTGACCCGGAGTCTCTTGTTTGCTGCAGTCTCAGAGGAGCAGTGCCTGTACCAGATCTACATTGACGAGTTGTACGGAGGCCTCCAGAGACCCAGTGAAGATGAGAAGAAGAAGTGAGTTGGGGTCTGGGGTGCAGGGGGTTGAGGAGGCAGGAGGGCTGGGAGCCCCAGGCAGGCATGGCCTCTTCCATCCTGTCCACCAGGGTCTCCCCAGAACCAAGGATGGTGTTCAGCACACAGTCAGTGCTCACTTAATAACTGTGTAGAGGAAGAAGCCCTGTCAGGGTACCAGGGCTTGCCGACGGCTCTGCGTTGCATTTTCAGCTTGGGGAGTGGTGGGAGGTGCAGTCCCTGTGGTCAGACAGCCCTGGGTTTGAGTCCTGGCTGTGAGACCCTGAGTGGGAATTCTCTGAGCCTTGCTGTGCTTCCCTGTAAAATGGGGCTGGCAGGAGGCCCCGCTGCCTGGAGTTGGGAGGCATGCAGGAGACAGAGCTTGTGAAGTACCTGTCCTAGCACCTGCCGTGTAGTGAGCTTGCAATCAGCCCTCACTGATGTCACTCTGGAGAGAGGCTTCTCAAAGCTGCGTCCCTCAAGGAGTGGCTGGGGAGACCCGGGCCTTATCCTGGAGCAGCTGCCTCTGAGGAGCAGCGGCCAGGCAGTCTCACTTCTCTCTTCTCCACCTCGGTCTGATGAGCACAGGCCCCTACCCTCACACATGCCGTTCCCTCTGCAGGGCTTAGCTCTTCTCCAGGCCAGCTGCTGTTGCCCCGGTGCACGGTAGACTGGAGCCCTGGCTCGGGACTGGGCGGCTCCCTCAGTGACACCTTCCCTCCCGCTCCCCTGACTGCTTCCTCCACTGGGAGGGGTCCCATGGGACTGTCCTGGATGCTTCTTGGAGACTTCAACCCTCGTCCACGGCCCCAGCCTCAGGGTCCTGCTCAGGCCCCTCAGGCACTGCTCTGTTCAGGGCAAAGCTGGGGCACCTGACTGCTCAGGAGGACTCTGGGCTGTGCCCTCGTGCGACTTACGGTCTAGGCGGGAGACAGACCTTCCCCAACAGAGATGACCCAAGGAAGGCAGGGTTGGGGAGCTCAGGACAGTGCCGACCCACCCTAGGTGCCAGTCAAGGACTTCTTGGCAGGTGGGGCCCTGGAGCTGAGATGTGGAGGAAGAGGGAGGAGCTGGGTGTGGGCAGGAGCAGAGGGACCTAGGCCGAGGGACAGCCTGAGGGGAGGGGGCCGTGGCACTCGAGAAGCTGGTGTGTGGGGCCAGCCTGGGGCCCTCCTCTCCGCCAGGCGCGGCCCTGGCTCAGCGGCTCCCCTTTCCAGGCTGGCAGAGAAGAAGGCTTCCATCGGTTATACCTACGAGGACAGCACGGTGGCTGAGGTGGAGAAGGCGGCAGAAAAGCCAGAGGAGGAGGAGTCAGCAGCCGAGGAGGAGAGCAACTCGGATGAAGATGAGGTCATCCCCGACATCGGTGGGGTCCCCTCTCTGCCCTCCCCACCCACAGTCCCTGGGCATCGTTTCTGTGTCTCGTCCCTCACCCTCTGTGGGGCACCCCGTGCTTACAAGCTGTGTCGCTCTCCCTCCCCCGCCCCAGGGCACGCCAGCCTCCTGCCACCCCTGTCTCACTCATCTCTCATTTCTAGGGTGCTGTTTCTATGATCTTTTCCCCTCCTAGGTGTTGGCTCCATTCTTCTCCACTTGGGCCGGCCTCTCTGTGCCTCTGCCCCGCTCCCCTGCTGTCTTCCCTCCTCTGGAAAACAAGTGCTCATCCTCTTACAGAGCCAGCCCCCATCCTCCAGGCATCTGTTCACCCTCCCCCTCTCTGCCATTCACCTCCCCCTCTGGATTCCCACTGATCAAACCACCCCTGAGTCTCTCCGCTTTACTCATCCTGGCTCTCACTCCAGCAGCCGGCTCTTTTTATTTTTTTATTTATTATTTATTTTTTGGGGATGGAGTTCTGCTCTGTCACCCCGGCTGGAGTGCAGTGGTGTGTTCTTGGCTCACTGTGACCTCCACCTCCTGGGTTCAAGCGATTCTCCTACCTCAGCTTCCCAAGTAGTTGGGACTACAGGCACATGCCACCATGCCCAGCTAATTTTTGTACTTTTAGTAGAGACAGGGTTTCGCTACATTGGTCAGGCTGGTCTTGAACTCCTGACCTCATGATCCACTTGCCTCGGCCACCCAAAGTGCTGGGATTACAGGCATGAGCCACTGTGCTCAGACTAGCAGCTGGCTCTTTATTCACACTCTGTAGAGCCACACATTGACCTCCGCCTAGCCCTCCTTCCGCTGGCTCATCACACGCCCTGCTTCCAAACACCTGTGACCCGTACCCTGCCTGCTGCCCACCATGATCTTCAGCCGCCATCTGTCTGACCCTATTCAGTCCTCCCTCCCACGTCAACCCCGCCACACGTCTCATCCATTCCTCCCTCCCTCCATCCACCCATCCCTCCTTCCTTCCTTCCCTGCCTCTATTCCATTCATCCCTCCATCCCTCCTGCCCTCCATCCATCCCTGCATCCCTTCATCCGTCCCTCCACCCATTCATCCATCTCTCCCTTCTTTCCCTCCCTCCGTTCATCTGCTCCTTCCAAGCCCCGTCCCCCAGCTGCCTCTGTCCACCGTGTGTTGTGCTCACCTCTGGCCAAGCCCTGTGCGAGTTTGGGGATGCCAAGATGAGCCATACTTGATGCCATCCCTTCCTGAAGAGTGCTTCAGTCTGGCAGGCGCCCCATCACCTCCACCTCCTGGAGCACTGCCCCTTCTCCCCTGTCCTCTCACTCGGCCGTGGCTCCTGACAGCCTTTCTCTTGGTGCAGACGTGGAGGTGGACGTGGATGAACTGAACCAGGAGCAGGTGGCAGATCTCAACAAACAGGCCACGACTTATGGCATGGCCGACGGCGACTTCGTCAGGTGAGGCCTGCCTGCTGACACTCCTCCCCATTCTGTGGGCCCCACCCTGGCATCTCACTGTTACTCCCGATACTGATGACAGCCATCCTGTTTGTGAGCATTTGTGTGCCTGACCCTGGGCCCAGGACTTTACACATGCAGGTCCCTGAGCCTATGGTGGTCGTGGCCCCACTTCATCTGTGCAGGAACAGGCTGCACCCAAATCACCCAGCCTGCCCTACTTAGTGTGACCTGGGGCGAATCTGACTCTTTGAAGCTCAGGGGATTCCTAGGCTGGGAGACAGCACCCTCTAGTGGAGATGCCTCATTCCCTGGTCATTTATTCTGGCAGTTGCTGGTTGGACCGCTACCCTGAGCCATACCCCCTGCTGAGCTCATAAGACCACACAGAATTGTCCCAGCTCACTGGGCAGTGAACCCGAAGCAGAGCCTGAGCATGGCACCCTCTGCCCAGAGCCCTTTGTGGCTCCCACCTCCCTCAGGCACATCCAGTGTCCTCACCATGGCTGAAAGGTCTTACCCGTCTGGTCTTGACTGCCCCCATCCCCCCTGCCCAGCCTCCATGGCCTCCTTGCTCCTCAAGTGCAGAGGCCTGGCCCAGCACCTGGGCCACTCTGCTGTTCGCTTCGGGCGTCTGCAGCTTGCTCCCCCAGGTTTCTCTCTAGATACCCCGTTCTGTGTGGCTTCCCTGAGCTTCCTCTTGAAAAATGCAGCTTCCTCTGCCTTTGCTCTGACATCTAATGGACCATGTGTTTTATTCCCTTGCTCATTGTCTTCTCCCCTAGAATGTAAGCCCGTGCAGGTGAGGATTTCTGGTTTTTTTCAGTGCTGAGTTCTTGATGCCTAAGATAGGACCTGGCACACAGAGGGTGCTTAATAAGTGGCACTGAATGAAAGACACCTCAGGCTGGTGTGGGGTGACTCGAGTCCCTCACTTTCTCTGATGACTCAGCCTGTGTCCTCCTTGTCCTGTGGCGTGCCCCCTCCTCCACCCTCATTCTCACCCCCCTCTATAGGATGCTCCGGAAAGATAAGGAGGAGGCAGAGGCCATCAAGCACGCCAAGGCCCTTGAGGAGGAGAAGGCCATGTACTCGGTGAGGTCTGGGCTAGAGTGGAAGGCGACAGGGTTGTGTCACAGGGAGGGCACCCCGTCACCAGTCTGTCACCTACCCTACTCCAGGGACGCCGCTCTCGACGCCAGCGGAGAGAGTTTCGGGAGAAGCGGCTGAGGGGTCGCAAGATCAGCCCACCCAGGTAGGGCTTCTCCCTGAACCCCCACCCTGCTGGCATCTGGGGGAGGGGAGCAGGGGCTTAGGGCCTGAGAAGGCTCTTTGGAGGCAGGCATTTGACTTGAGGAAAGTCTTTCTAGTGGGGCGATGCATGGCCTGCGTGAAGGTTTAGAGGTAGGAACGGCCTTGAGGGCCATGTGGACTCCTTTCTTTGCCAGCCGCTCCCCTCACCCTGCTGGACTGGGAGCCCTTGCCAGACTCCCAGGAGCCCATGCACAGGCGGCATGAGGCTGTCACCAGGGCGGCGGAGGAATAGAGGGCACAGGCTTTGCCCTGGACGCTCACTCAGTTCTGCTGCTTGGCTGTTTCCTGTGTTGGAGTTTGGACAAGTGACTTCCTGAACCCTCTGAGCTTCAGTTTCTTCCTTTGGAAAATGAAGCATTATCACCTACCATGAGAGAGGGCTGGGGCAGTCCCCACAGGGAGGTCTTGGGACAGGTTTGGATGAGGCAGTCTGGCTTGGAGCAGAGAGCCCAGCCTGGGTCAGGAGGCCTTGAGGAGAGGCCCGGTGCAAACCCATGCCTCTTTTTGCCACATCTCTTAAAGGAGAGTGATTGAGAGTTCCTGTAAGGCTTAAACGACTTGTAGGTTCAGGGGTTGGTGTGCGAAACATTCCTTAAAGAATAGCACCAGTCGTCACTGCTGTCAGTGGTGGCACAGAGGCACATAGAGGGTAGTGCAGGAAAGCCCAGGCTGGGTGGCTGTAGGGCCTGGGTGTGGATCCCCGTTTCCTCCTTTATGAGCTGCATGATGCTGGACAAGTGACTTCACCTCTCTGGGCTTCAGTTTCCTCAGCTGTGATAGTCTTTCTCTTCTTTTTTTTTCCAGAGACAGGGTCTTGTTCCGTCACCCAGGCTGGAGTGCAGTGGTGCAATCACGACTTACTGCAGCCTCAAATTCCTAGGCTCAGGCGAGCCTCCTACCTCAGTCTCCTTAGTAGCTGAGATTACTGGCATGCATCACCACTCCCAGCTAATTAAAATAAAATATGCTTTGTAGAGATGGGGTCTTGCTATGTTGCCCAGGCTGGTCTCAAACTCCTGGGTTCAAGTGATCCTCCCACTTCAGCCTCTCAAAGTGCTGGGATTACAGGTGTGAGCCACCGCACCCAGCCTATTTTTATCTTATCATCATCATCATTAGTAAACCCAGACCCAGTGAGCGCCAGAGATGAGGATTGGGAGGAGGGATGCTTTCATTCTAGGGTCAGGAGGCCAAGCAGAACCAGGGTTGCTGAAGTCCAAGTTCCTCAGAGTCATCATGGGTCTAGGACATTGTGGGGTGGGGCCTAAGTTCATGCTTTGGACAGATCTGAGGTGGGGGTGGGTGGAGGAATCAAGGGAAGGCCCCCAACCTGGTCAGCAGCCCCCTCACTGTGCCAGGTGCCTAGCTTTGGGTCCTCAGGTTGGGGGACTTATCCCAAATTCATGCCCACTGAGATCTTAAGCCCCAACTTGTCCCACCCCATTCTTCTCTCTAGCTATGCCCGCCGAGACAGCCCCACCTATGACCCCTATAAGCGGTAAGTTCCTCCGGAGGACCAGGGAGTAGCAGACAGGGAGCTCCCTGATGGGGACAGGGGCGCTGAGGAGGGGATGGGAGGTTCACCCTACTAGGCCACCCCAAGACCACAGACTGCATGATATGTTCTGGGTCTAAATCATTTTTGTGTTTTCCAGATCACTGTCTTGTTTTCCCAGTTTTAAATAAAATTTTGCTTTTTTTTTTTTTTTTGAGATGGAGTCTCGCTCTGTCACCCAGGCTGGAGTGCAGTGGCCCGATCTCGACTCACTGCAAGCTCCGCCTCCCGGGTTCACACCATTCTCTGGGACTACAGGTGCCCGCCACCAGGCCCAGCTAATTTTTTGTACTTTTAGTAGAGACGGGGTTTCACCGTGTTGTTAGCCAGGATGGTCTCGATCTCCAGACCTCGTGATCTGCCCGCCTCGGCCTCCCAAAGTACTGGGATTACAGGCATGAGCCCCGCGCCCGGCCAATAAAATTTTCTTTATATTTTGAAGCTTCTTTATTTTATTTTTCTGATTTATTTATTTATTTATTTTTTAATTTTTTTTTTTTTGAGTCGGAGTCTTGCTCTGTCACCCAGGCTAGAGTGCAGTGGCGCGAAGTCGGCTCACTGCAAGCTCCGCCTCCTGGGTTTACGCCATTCTCCTGCCTCAGCCTTCCAAGTAGCTGGGACTACAGGCGCCTGCCACCTCGCCCGGCTAGTTTTTTGTATTTTTTAGTAGAGATGGGGTTTCACCGTGTTAGCCAGGATGGTCTCGATCTCCTGACCTCGTGATCCGCCCGTCTCGGCCTCCCAAAGTGCTGGGATTACAGGCTTGAGCCACGGTGCCCGGCCCTATTTTTCTGATTTAAATACAACGCAGTCTTACGGTAAAAAATGATCAAATATGGCAAAACAGTGTGACTGAGAAATCAAGTCACTTTAATCTCAATTTCCAGAAGTGGCCAGTGGGAAATAACGGGCACTCAGTAGCACCGCTGGGCACAGGTGCTTGTCTCGTGGGTGAAAGAGTGATTGGAGCAGGGATTTTGAGAGGGACCAAGCTCAGTGTGATCCCAGTCCCCCTCATCCAAGCTCTATAGCTCTCTGAAGCCCAGTTCCCTCTTTGGAATGGGGGTGGGAATGGGATCTTCCTCATGGGGCTGTGGGTCGAGATTAGATAAGGTGTGAATGGCTTCTGGGGAAATAAAAGGTGTAGGTTAGTGCTCCATACATGGGAGTGTTGGATATCAGGTACCTTCTTTTTATTTTTAAAATTTTATGTATTAAAAACTTTTTTTTTTTTTTTTCCTCTTAAAAAAAATTGAGATAGGGTCTGACCAGGCTGGTTTTGAACTCCTGGTCTCAAGCAGTCCTCCCACCTGGGCTTCCCAAAGTGCTGGGATTACAGGCGTGAGCCACCACACCTGGCCACTTTTTTTATTTTACTAAAATGGAATTGCACCACACTCAGTATTTTAGAACTCGCTTTTTCCTCCCAGATTATCCATGTTTCTTTTGAGTAAAACTTTTCTGTGTTTTGTGCAGAGATCTGCTTATCTTTTTTTTTGAGGGGGGACGGAGTCTCGCTGTGTTGCCCAGGCTGGTGGGCAGTAGTGTGATCTGGACTCACTGCAACCTCTGCCTCCCAGGTTCAAGCAGTTATCGTGCCCTCAGCCTCCTGAGTAGCTGGAATTACAGGTGCGTGCCACCATGCCCGGCTAATTTTTTTGTGTTTTTTGTAGAGACGGGGTTTCACCTTGTTGGCCGGGCTGGTCTCAAACTCCTGGTCTCAAGTGATCCGCCTGCCTGGGCCTCCGAGAATGCTGGGATTACAGGTGTGAGCCACCACGCCCGGCCTGCTCATCCATTTTTCATAGCCACATAAAATCAGAGCAGTTGTCTGTCATTGTCCTTCCTGGTTATTTAGCAAAGGCTGCATGGTTGTGAGTCAAGTCCTTGTCCAGAGCTGGGTCTTCAGTGCCCTCCAGGCTCCATCCACCCGCCTGGCTTCCCGGGTCGCTCTGGCCCGCGCTGGCGCTGCTGTTGCTCTGCTGTGTGTGCTGTTTCCTGAGAGGCTCCGGGAACCTGGGCTAGTGAGCCTCCTCCTCCCTACCCGTAGGTCACCCTCAGAGTCCAGCTCGGAGTCCCGCTCCCGCTCCCGCTCCCCGACCCCGGGCCGCGAGGAGAAGATCACGTTCATCACCAGTTTTGGAGGCAGCGATGAGGAGGCAGCCGCAGCTGCTGCTGCCGCAGCCGCATCAGGGGTCGCCACAGGGAAGCCCCCCGCACCTCCCCAGCCTGGCGGCCCCGCCCCAGGACGTAATGCCAGCGCCCGGTCGGTAACGCTCACGCCGCCCGCCCTACGCCCCGGTCACCATGGGGGGGACCCGGGGCAGAGGGGGGCCGCGGCTCAGGCCTGCGCTGACCGGCCCTCCGTGCCCCGCCTGCAGCCGCCGCTCCTCCTCCTCCTCCTCCTCCTCTTCCGCCTCGAGGACCTCCAGCTCCCGCTCCAGCTCTCGCTCCAGCTCCCGCTCACGCCGTGGCGGGGGCTACTACCGTTCCGGCCGCCACGCGCGCTCCCGGTCCCGCTCCTGGTCCCGCTCCCGTTCCCGCTCCCGGCGCTACTCCCGGTCCCGTAGCCGTGGCCGCCGGCACTCAGGTGGGGGCTCCCGAGACGGACACCGCTACTCCCGCTCGCCCGCCCGGCGTGGTGGTTACGGGCCCCGGCGCAGAAGCAGGTATGTGCGGCTGGGCGTGGGCGGGAGAGGCTGGGGGGCGCGGGCTTCGAACTTGGGGAGAAGGTGCTCAGAGGGAGGAAACCTGGCCACCTGGCTCAGAGAACACCCCATCTGAGGTTACAGGCACAGGCCACTGCTCTTCGGCAGGAAGCCCTTGGTTGGAAAGGGCAAGGCATGGGTGTTTGCGTACGCATCGTGGTGGCAGTGGAGGTGGAGCCCAGCCCGTTTTCCACAGCAGGGTGTAGAGAGGAGACTGCATCTCTCTCTCTCCTCAGGAGACTGTCTTTGCTGTCAGGGGTTCCAGGTCGAGGGGAATAGAAGCGCATGGACGCTCCAGGGTATTCTGTAGCTTGAAGGGAGGGGTCCGGGTCTTGAGGGCTGGGAAACCCCTTGGTGGGGGTGCGTTCCTGTGTGGCCAGGAGCGGATGGGGAAGCGGGTGGAAAAAATCAAAACAGCTCATTGGCCTGGCGCGGTGGCTCACACCTGTAATCCCAGCACTTTGGGAGGCTGAGGCAGACAGATCTCCTGAGCTCAGGAGTTCGAGACCACCCTGGGCAACATGGTGAATACCCGTCTCTACTAAAATAGAAAAAATTAGGCCAGGCGCGGTGTTTCACGCCTGTAATCCCAGAACTTTGAACCCAGGAAGCAGAGGTTGCAATGAGCTGAGATCGTTCTACTGCACTTCAGCCTGGTGACAGAGCGAGACTCCGTCTCAAAAAAAAAAAAAAAAAATAGCTGGGCTATGTAGTCCCAGCTATGTAGGAGGCTGAGGCACAAGAATTGCTTGAACCCCGCAAGCGGAGGTTGCAGTGAGCTAAGATTGTGCCACTGCACCCCAACTTGGGCTACAGAATGAGACTGCGTCTCAAAGCAAAAAAAAAAAGACATTTCATTTTGGAGAACACACGATGAGAGAGGCCAGCTCTAGGGATGGTTTAGAAAATAAAAGTCACCTGGAGACTGGTCCACCCCCTTCCAGTCTCCTTGCCTGTTGGGGTCAGGACTGCTCTTGGAAGGGCAGCGACGCTGGGTCGGTGGGAGCATAGCCTGCAGGGCACCTGCCCAAGTGTAGAGTCCCTGGGCCTCTGCTTCTGCAAAATTGCAATAATAGCATCCGCTTCTCTGGGCTGTTAGAGGTGTAACAGGTAAACCCATGTAAGGTGTTTAGGACAGGGCTGGTGCTGTCTAAGTGCCGTTAATATCGTCAGCATCATTACTTGCATTATTGTAGCACTGATCACCATGTCAGCTGCCTGTAGGGTCTGGCAGGTAAAGTAGAGGGGCCAGGTAGAGATCCTGCTGACCTGGCAAGCACGTGTTCCCTCCAGTGGGGGCGTTGACCGCTCAGCAGCAGGTCTAGTGTCACCTAGTCTTTCTAGTTCTCAGGAGAAGTTGAGGGTCTGGATTTTTAGAGGATAGCTCTTGTTTTCTTTCCTTTGTTTTGAGACAGAGTCTTGCTGTGTCACCCAGGCTGGAGTGCAGTGGCGCGATCTCGGCTCACTGCAACCTCCACCTCTTGGGTTCAAGTGATTCTCCTGCCGCAGCCTCCCAAGTAGCTGGAATTACAGGCGCACACCACCACGCCCGGCTAATTTTTGTATTTCTAGTAGAGACTGGGTTTCACTATGTTGGCCGGGCTGGTCTTGAACTCCTGACCTTGTGATCCACCCACCTTGGCCTCCCAAAGTGCTGGGATTACAGGCGTGAGCCACCGCTCCTGGCCCTTGTTTTCTTAATAAGGACAACAAATTTTAATTTTATAAAAATTTCATTCAAAAATTAGCCGGGCATGGTGGTGCACGTCTGTAATCTCAGCTACTCGGGAGGCTGAGGCAGGAGAATTGCTTGAACCCAGGAGGCGGAAGTTGCGGTGAGCCGAGCTGTTGCACCACTGCACTCTAGCCTGGGTGACAGACTCCATCTCAAAAAAAAAAAAGAGAGCCCAAGCAGAGTTAGTGTGTGGCCCAGAATTGGCTGCCGGGTCATATATTCCTTGTAGCTTACCCAGAGCAATGACAGGAGAAAGACTTGGAGGGCAGGTGGGACCTGGGCACATCTTGCATGCCAGCCTGAGAGTGTCCGGAGCAGGGAGAGGATGGGGTTCCACATCCCCAGATTGGAACTTGTGGGTCTGTGCTGAGAATGGTGGAGGACAAGGGATGGTCCCCACTGCTGTCAAGACCCTGGACACAAGCAGGATGAGGAGGTGGGTGAGGGTGTAGATGAGGTCACCGTGGAACACCATTGTGCCTGAGCTGGACACGGCTCATAAAGGGGGAGCCAGCCATCCCTCCCAGAGCTCCCCTCCCGAGAAGTTGGCAAGTGGGTATCTAGTGAGGGAGAGGTGACACGGGCCAGGCAGGGCTCATGATGGCAGGACTGCCCTTAGGCTGAGTGTATCTAGAACGCCATCTCTGTAGCCAGAGGGAGGCCAGAGTGCCGCTTCGGGACATTTCTGAGAGAGAGTAGCAGGAGAGGAGAGTCAAGCCCGTCACCCCGGGCCTTGCAGGAAGGAGGACTGTGGATCTGAAGCCAGGGTGGGGTGCGTTTGGGGGTCCCTGGAGCCTCACAGTCCTCCTCCCGCCCTGCTGCATCCCCAGGAGCCGCTCCCACTCAGGGGACCGCTACAGGCGGGGTGGCCGGGGCCTCAGGCACCACAGCAGTAGCCGCAGCCGCAGCAGCTGGTCCCTCAGTCCGTCCCGCAGTCGCAGCCTGACTCACAGCCGCAGCCCCAGCCCCAGCCCCAGCCAGAGCCGTAGCCGCAGCCGCAGCCGCAGCCGCAGCCAGAGCCCCTCGCCATCACCCGCAAGAGAGAAGCTGACCAGGCCGGCCGCGTCCCCTGCTGTGGGCGAGAAGCTGAAAAAGTGAGCAGGGCGGGTCTGGAGGAAGAGGGCTGCCAACCTCAGGTGGGGAGGGCGAACGTCACTGTTTTCTTTTTGTGGAAACAGCCCTACCCCAGGAGGTCCGGGGGCCGGGGTATGGCCCTGGCCTGGGAGGGTGCATTTCAGGGGGACACAGCCCTGGCCTGGGGGGTCTGAGGAGGACACACCAAATCCTAGAGGATCTGCACAGTCAGAACCTTGTCCTTGATGAGGGTCAGAAGGCAACAGGGCCCGGTCTTACAGGTTCTGTGGGGTCTGAGAGGGACATGGTTGCACCCTGGGGCCTCAGAAGGCCCATGCCTTGGCCACCTGATCTGAGGGCAGTGCTGAGGCTGGGGTCAGAGGTGGCAGCTGTCCTTTCCCCCTCCCAACCATGTCCTCTGGCCCTGCCCCCACCCAGGACCGAACCTGCCGCTGGTAAAGAGACAGGAGCTGCCAAAGTCAGTAAGAATTTGGAACTCGCCCGTCTAATTCCCGTCAGCAGCAGTGCCCAAGAGCTGGGCCTGGTGGGCCTGCAGGGGGGCCCGGGTGGGCTGGGAGATCCAGCCCCAGGGACTGGGAGGGGAGCGGGGGAAGGGTCTGCCCCCATGAGAACCATATCCCTCTTCCCTCCTCACTGTACACTGGGGCTCCATCTGTCACTGAGCCTCTGGGAGCTTCAGGGCTGTCCACAGCCTGCCCCTCCTCCCCACGTCGTTCCCCCCCCCGCCCCAAAAGCCCCAGGCTCTTGGCTGAGGTGGGTTGTGGGAGCTCTGGGACACCCACCCCCTCTCCCACCTCTTCTCCCCCCTCCCCAGCCCAAGCTGACGCCTCAGGAGAAGCTGAAACTGAGGATGCAGAAGGCGCTGAACAGGCAGTGTATGTTCTGCCCCGTCCCTCCAGGGTTTCACAGCTCTTCCCCTTGGCAGTGGGAGCAAGGAGACCCAGCACCACCTCGGGAGGCCTGGCCCTTCCCTGGAGAGTCTGCGCAGGCGCGGAGGTGCTCTGGGGAGGAGTGGGTTTGCATCAGTTCCGCTGCCACCATGCTGAGGCCTTTGCAGTCAGGTTGACCTGTCTGAGCTCAGCTTCCTCGTTTTAGAGAGTGGGGCTCTTGCCGGGTACGGTGGGCTCACGCCTGTAATCCCAGTACTTTGGGAGGCCAAGGTGGGTGGATCACGAAGTCAGGAGATCGAGACCATCCTGACTAACACGGTGAAACCCCGTCTCTACTAAAAATACAAAAAATTAGCCAGGCATGGTGGCGGGCTCCTGTAATCCCAGCTACTGGGGAGGCTGAGGCAGGAAAATGGTGTGAACCCGGGAGGCGGAGCTTGCAGTGACCTGAGATCGCAGCCTGGGCGACAGAGGGAGACTCCATCTCAAAAAAAAAAAAAGAGAGCGGGGCTCTTAAGGGCACCCCTCAGCCACCGTGTATCTTCCTCCCTACAGTCAAGGCGGATAAGAAGGCGGCACAGGAGAAGATGATCCAGCAGGAGCATGAGCGGCAGGTGAAGTGGGGAAGGGAGGGCTGGGGTGGTGGGTGGGTGCTGGCCTGGCCACGTCCTCATAGCCCTGTCTGCTGCAGGAGCGGGAAGACGAGCTTCGAGCCATGGCCCGCAAGATCCGGATGAAGTAAGACCTTGCCCCTCCCTGTCCCATAGCCACACCTCCTGCTCCTGGGCTTCCTGGCCTTCCCACCACGGGCTCTTGGCTTGAGCCCTGCCCAGCTCCCTGTGGGTGGATGAAAGGCAGAGCCCTGCCTGGCCCTCAGGGCTGTGCCCCACCGCCTCTCTCCTCCTGAATTTCCTCCCTCCATTTCGGCCTGCCTCCCGCCACCGCAACCTCGTCCCAGCTCTTCCAGCCTCCAAGTGCCAGTCACCTTTGCTGTTCTGTTGGCCTGGCAAGCTGTTCCTGATACCCCTTACCCACCCCCCACTGCCATGGGTCTTTCTCCTGTCCCAGCCTGTTTGTTCATCTCCTAAGTGGAGACAGAGTCATTGTCCCACCTCACAGGCTGTTGGGGGGATTTGACAAGATCAAGGCCAGGCACGGAGAAGGCACCCAGTAGATGTAGCCATTGGGTTGCCGAGCCTGGCCACTGTGACGGAGACCATTTCAACACTCAGTGTGTGCAGGTGCCCCAGTGCAGCAGGAAATGATGGGACTATCTGCCTCCCTCTGTTCACAAGGCTTTCCTAGGAAGGGGGCTGGGATTCCAGTCAGCTCCGCCAGCTGGGGTCCCTCTGAACCTCGGGCCCCTTTTCCAAGCAGGGATTGGTGGCAGTACCGGCCCCCTGGGTTTATTGTCTTTCTCAGAGTAGGGTGTCGGAAGCACCTGCCCTCCCTGAGTTCAGTGTGTCCAGTGTTCTCGGCCAGATGCTAACGCCATGCCTTTGCAGGGAGCGGGAACGCCGAGAGAAGGAGAGAGAAGAGTGGGAACGCCAGTACAGCCGGCAGAGTCGCTCACCCTCCCCCCGATACAGTGAGTGTCCCCACCTGGCTGGAGGGCTCTGGGGCTTTAAAGAAAAGTGTCAAGCAGAGTTACAAAAAAAAATAGTTCCACATTAGCCTTCCAGAAATGAAAGCTCTTAAGACACACACGCATACACACACATTGCTTTAGTCACAAGGTGACTGCAGAAATTAGAAGTGCTCATTCCGGCATGGGCTGGTGAGGGGCACAAATCGCAGCCATTGGACTCTCTGGAAATGTCCCCTCATTTGGAGACAACCCCTGAAGTTCAGTTTTGAGGACCTCACCCCAGGTCAAGGAAGAGGCCCTGACCCTGGATGTTTGCTCGCTCTTCATCTGCTCTTTTCTTTCCAGGTCGAGAATACAGCTCTTCTCGAAGGTAAGGAAGCCCATGACCCTCCACTTTCTGACAAGTGGAGGTCCTGGCTCTCATTCCTCCAGCCTCACCCTGTACCCACCTCCAGTTGGAGGGGCTGGTCTCATCCCTTGGGGAACATCCCTTCCTCTACAGACAAGTGCCCTGATCACTGAAGCCTCCATGGCCCCAGCTGTGTTGATGTGTGTACACCCCATTCTCACGGCCCCTCCCTTTCTCTTTCCAGGCGCTCAAGGTCCCGATCCCGAAGCCCCCATTACCGACATTAGGCAGAAGAGGGAGGGGTGGGGAGGACAAGGGGGTGGGGTAAGGGGCTTAAGCTGTGATGCTGCTGGTTTTATCTCTAGTGAAATAAAGTCAAAAGTTATTTAATTCCTGTCACCTGCCTCAGTGTCATCTGTGTGGTTGGTGCAGGGCTCTCACACCCCAGGGCCCACTGGCCAGCAGAGCCAGCTGGGAGGGCGCTTGGGTTTACAGGCCAGGTGCCATTGCTTCCTGTGTGGCACATCTTGCCCACATCTGATGGCTAAGTGGCAGGCCCCTGTTCATCAGAACCTGCCATGGCTCAGTGAGGCCTGCTTAGGCCAGGGCACAGTCCCAAGGGAGAGGGCCCAGACCTGCCCGCAGGTGTGGACACAGGGTGTCGGCCCAGCATGTCCCACATGGGCCCCTTTGCCTGGGGCCTCTGGCGACAGGTCCAGGCCTCTCCCCGCCCTCGCCTTGGCCCCTGCCCTGGCCTCGCCCGCACCAGGAACTGGGAGCGCGGCTTTCTGTGCCAATCCTGCAGCGCCGCAGGCACTGGGGGCTGGCCGTTCCCTCACCCCCTCACTCCAAACCGGTCTGTCCAGCCGTCCACCCCAAGGAGGGGAAGCCTCCTGCCCCACCTCAGCACCCCAAGAAAGCCAGAGTCCAAACGGGTGTAAATAAAAGGAGAAATTTACTTGGAAAAGGGGGCAAAAACGAGGAGGTCAACAGGTGTTGGTGGCGGTGCCAGGCACAGTGGCGGCCTTTCCTGGGCTCAGGCCTCCCCGGCCACCTCAGGGTGCTTCTGCCGGAGGTGTTTGTCCAGGGTGGCTCGCAGGCCGAAGGGCACATGGCAGTGAGGGCACTCGAAGCGGGTGCTGCCAGGCGTCATGCCGTGCATGCGGCGGTGGCGGTTGAGCTTGCTGCTCTGGGCGCAGGCGTAGTTGCAGAGCTCACAGGTGTAGGGGCGCTCCCCGGTGTGTGAGCGCCGATGCACTGTCAGGTTGCTGCTGTTGGTAAAATGCTTTCCACAGAACTCGCAGCTGCCCCCGGGCCCACGGCTCTTGCCCCCTGACTTGGGCATCTTTTTGGGTGATGCCTTCTGGCTGTTTACAGGGTCAGTTCTCTGTTCTGCGGTGATGGCTCCCCAAGTGTCTCCACCAGGGCCGGCTTGAGCCCCACTGCCAGGAGCCCCGGGTTCTTGGACACCTGCTGTGGCGGCGGCTCCAGCCCCCTCACCACCGCTGCATGGGAGGGTGCTGGCGGGGGCAGCGGCATGGGCAGCCGGCTCCGGAGGGGCCGCAGAGGCCTGCTCCTGGCTGGTGTCGGCCATGATGGGACTCTGGGGCGGCACCTGCCGGTGGGTCTTCTTGTGGCGGTTGAGCTTGCTGCTTTGGGCGCAGGCATAGGGACACTGGTCGCATGCATAGGGCCGCTCGCCTGTGTGTGAGCGCATGTGCACCTTGAGGTTGCTGAAGGAGCTGAGGGTCTTCTTGCACACGGGACAGGTGGGGCTCCGCCGGGTGAGGCTGCTGCCACTTGCACGGGGACTCTTGGCCTCAGCTGCTGGCCCCACCACTGCCGACACGGCTGCAGCCACCTCGGCCAGGCCCAGGAGCGGGGCCTCTGGGGCCTCTGATTCTGTCTGGTAGATGGACAGTCCATGGTCCCACTGGGCGTGACGCAGCAGCTTCCAGGCCACTGTGAACTGTCTGCCACAGCGCAGGCAGCTCAAGGCCTTTAGCTCCTCTCGTTCTGGTAAGAAAAAGAGGCAGAGTGTTAGTGCGGAGAGGAAGGAGTCATGGGGGTTGCAGTTCACAGCTGCCAGCTGGACACCTTCTGTGGGACAGGCACTCCTGCAGGGGCCAAGGACTTGGCAGTAACAAGACACATACACTCCGGCAGGACCAGGAAGCTGATGCTCAGAGGAGGAGTGGACACGAAAAATCTGTGGAGTGGGTGCTGAGTACCTGAGGCTTTGTGTTTGAAAACCATTTTTTTTTTTTTTTGGAGACAGTCTCCCTCTGTCACCCGGGCTGGAGTGCAATGGCTCAATGCAAGCTCTGCCTCCTGGGTTCACGCTATTCTCCCGCCTCGGCCTTCTGAGTAGCTGGGATTACAGGCGCCCGCCACCATGCCCGGCTAATTTTTGTATTTTTATTAGAGACAGGGTTTCAACGTGTTAGCCAGGATGGGAAAACCATTTTTTTTAAGACATTCTCACTCTGTCACCCAGACTAGGGTGCAGTAGTGCAATCTCGGCTTATGCAACCTCCACCTCCCAGACTCAAACTATTCTCATGCCTCAGCCTCCCGAGTAGTTGGGATTACAGGTGCCCGCCACCACGCCTGGCTAATTTTTGTATTTTTAGTAGAGATGGGGTTTCACCATATTGGCCAGGCTGGTCTCAAACTCTCCGCCTCAAGTGATCCTCCCACCTTGGCCTCCCAAAGTGCTGGGATTACAGGCGTGAGCCACTGCACTAGGCCATGTGTTTGAAAACCTTTTGAAAAGTTAGGTTGGCCGGGCGCGGTGGTTCAAGCCTGTAATCCCAATACTTTGGGAGGCCGAGGCAAGCGGATCACGAGGTCAGGAGATCAAGACCATCCTGGCTAACATGGTGAAACCCCGTCTCTACTAAAAGTACAAAAAATTAGCCGGGCCTGTAGTCCCAGCTACTTGGGAGGCTGAGGCAGGAGAATGGCGTGAACCCAGAAGGCGGAGCTTGCAGTGAGCTGAGATCGCGCCACTGCACTCCAGCCCAGGCGACAGAGTGACACTCCGTCTCAAAAAAAAAGTTACGTTAATTCAGTGAGCGCTTCCTACATGCTAGGTGCTGAGCCATGGCTCATAGCCCAGCTTTCCCTCAGGACAGGAAAATAAGATCACCATTTTCCAGACAGGAAAACTGAGGCACAGAGAGGCATTTTCCCAGGGCGGCACAGCTTAGAAGGGGTAAAGCTGGGATTTCAATCCAGACTGCTGGGGGAGGGGGAGAGGGCAGAACAGAGGCTTGCTTTTATTTGCTTTAAATTTTTAATTTAGCATTTTTTAAAGAGACGGGGCTCTGCCACGTTGCCCAGGCTATTCTTGAACTTACGGCCTGAAGTAATCCTTTCACCCCAGCCCCTCAAAGTGCTGGGATTACAGGCATGAGCCACCATGTCCGGCTGGGAACACAGGTTTTTGAATAAGATTTTTGGTTTAGGCCAGGCGCAGTGGCTCACATCTGTAATCCCAGCACTTTGGGAGGCTGAAGCGGGTGGATCTCTTGAGGTCAGGGGTTTGAAACCAGCCTGGCCAACACGATGAAACCCTGTCTCTACTAAAAATACAAAATAGCCAGGCGTGGTGACGGGCACCTGTAATCCCAGCCACTTGGGAGGTTAAGGCAGGAGAATTGCTTGAACCCAAGAGGCAGAGGTTGCAGTGAGCCAAGATCCTACCACTGCACTCCAGCCTGGGTGACAAAAGCGAGATTCTGTCTCAAAAAAAAAAAAAAAAAGGAATTTTGGTTTAATAAAAATAATTTTTAAAGTAATTGAGATAGCTGGGCGTGGTGGCTCATGCCTGTAATTCCAGCACTTCAGGAGGCCGAGACAGGCGGATCACCTGAGGTCAGGATTTTGACACACTAAGCCTGGTCAACATGGTGAAACCCTGTCTCTACCAAAAATACAAAAACTCGCCAGCCATGGTGGTGCACGCCTGTAGTCCCAGCTACCTGGAGGGCTGAGGCCGAATCACTTGAACCTGGGAGGCGGAGGTTGCAGTGAGCTGAGATTGTGCCACAGCCTCCAGCATGGGTGACAAGACTCCGCCTCAAAATAATAATAATAATAATAATGAGGATAGCTACAGAGAAAGCTTAGCGGCCACATAGTAAACAGGTGGTAGTGACCTGGGTTCCCCACCCTCTACATGGATCTCAAATTGAGAGCCCCCAAACCTGAACTTGGATTTTTATCTGGACCTTCGGGATACTCTCAGAGGACACTTCCTAACTGAACTAGCCTTTCCATTTTTCAAATTCTAGAGTCTTGGATGAGACAACCTTTGTGATACAACCAGTCCCGGGTCAAGAACACAGGCCTGGCCTGCACTCAAATTCAGACTTCTCTGCTCCCTAGTTTTGTGTGACCTTGGGCAAGACATAGTCCTCTATGTGCCTCAGTTGCTAGAATTCAGGGACCCTAGAGATCCCCTCCCTTTCAAGAGTGGTTGTGACCTCGCTTGGGGAATGGTTGAGAGCTTAGGTCCACATAAGCGCTCAAACTGCAGAGCCTGTGAAACCAAGGTGCCTACGATTCTCCAAGCCCTGCAGTGTTTTGTTCCAGCAATTCTATCACAGACCCTCGCTCCCTCGCTCGCTCGCTCACTCGCCAGGCCACTCTCCATGCTCCAACTCTAAAGCCGATTCAATCAGTCACAAGCCCCTCCTCTTTCCCACCACCAGACCCTCCCTGGCCCAACCCTAAATAATTCCTTCTCAAAAGTCTCAGGAGGGCAAGGGGTGGGGGCTGGAAATTAGGTTTGGATTAAGCCCTGCAGCCAACACTGACCAAAAGCTCACCGAGGGTCAAGTGCCACGTGAAGGATTTTAATTCCCTCCCAAGAGGAGGAACCCTGGTGTCCAGCACCGGGGAGCTCGCTCAAACCAGGGGATTCCCACCATGCAGTGCTGGGAGATTCCATCACCAAGGGAAGCCAGAAGCCCCTTCCCTGGCTCGGAACAGTTAGCTGTACTAGCACCTCAATCAGAATTGACAGACAGGAGGAGGTGGCAACCTCCCCATTCCAGCTGGCCTCCACTCCCCCTCCCCCCGGCCACTGCCCTCCCCAGAGGTCCCCCCCTACTGCCACCCTGGTCCAGCCACCTGGCCAGTTATTTCTGGCCAAGGGGAAGGAGAAGTGAAACCAGGTTGGGGTGTGTGTGTGGGGGGCAAAATCCCGGGCTAGTCTTCTGGGGCTGGCCACACCCTGTAGGCGGCCCTCCTTCCCTGCCCAACCCCCCTTGCCCCCCCTTCCCACCACCACCACTAGTCCCTGCCCCAGGACGGGCAGGCCCTGGCCACGCCTAGGCTGCACCCGATGGGAAGCGAGAAAGGGGAAGTAGTGCTCAGTGCCCTGCCGTCCAGCCCAGTCCCTCTCCAGCAGGAAGCCCAGCCCTTGAACTTGAGAGGGGGACTGCACCCGGCTTTACTCACCTGAGCCCTGGCCGCGGCTGGGGCCTCTGAAGAGCTGACAGCCCAGCTTCTTGTGGTCCATGAAGGCAGTGATGGCCTCCAACGGGAAGGTCTGCAGGCAGCGGCCGCAGGTCAACAGATCTGGGTGTTTGTCGGTCCAGGGCTGGCGGTCTGCAGGGAGGAAGCGGGTGGTGAGCGTGGGGTGGGGCCAGGATGGGGGCTGAGGGTGCCGAAGGAGAGGGGAAACCGAAGGTCAGAAGGGAGCCTGGGGGGCAGGACGGGGCGAAAGAGATAAGGCAGGGCGAGGGGCCCATGCCCAAAGGGAGGGGTCCCACCCGAGGGTCAAAGGTAAGGGAGGCTGGGCCCAGGGCCCGGGGCGCTCACCGGGAAGGTTCGGGGTCAGCGGTGGCCACAGAGTCCACGGGTTCCGCGCGCCGAGGGCGAGAAGGGCGGCCCCGGCGGGCATGGGGCCAGAGGAGTGGTGGGGTTCGCCGCCGAACCGCCCCTCCGAGGACACCTCCTTCGGGGAGAAGGACCCCAGTCTTGGGGCCTGTTGGGACCGCGCGTCTGGCTCGGGCTTGAGTTCGATGACGAGGTCCTGCATTTCCATCTCGTCGTCTGGGTTGGCTGCGGGCGCGGGCTCTACTCGGCGGGGCGCGCTGCCGGCCTTGCGGCGGGACATGAGTCGCGGGCCGGGCGAGCGGGCGAGCGGACGGGCCGGCGGGAGGGCGGAGGACGCAAGAACGGAGGACGCGCGGACCGTGCGCGCTCAGGTGAGTGACTGCGGCGACCCGCTGCGAACTCTTACACGTGCTGGCCGGGCCCGTGGCTCCGCCTACCAGGGCGGGGCCTGATGGGAGGGGACCGAGCCGCGCAGCTGGGGCCCTGCCGGCGGCCTAACTCAATCTAGGCAGTGCCCCCTGCGCTTGGCTTAGTGACCAAATTTAATCACACCGAATTCCCACAAGGCATTGAAACAGCTATCCCTGATCCCATTTTAGGGCGGGTGAAACTGAGACACGGGATGCCCACACACACCCCCAAGGGAGAAAATAGTCGGTCACGTTTGTTATTAGGTGCTTAATAGTAATCTGGGCTATTTCATTTAATGCATTACAATAAAAATTCATTTTGCAAGCATTCACTGAGTGCCTCCTGTGCGCCAGACTCTGTTTGAAGCACTGGGAATACAGGAGGGAACAAACAGACGTTTGCCTGCACGGAGTTTAGACGGTGGGGGAAGACACTATAGACATAATTATGTAAAATATAGATGGCCTTTGATGATGACCAGTGCCATGGAGCAAAAGAAAGCTGGAAAGGCGGAGAGGGTTACTGGGGTTGAGGGATTCAATTTTCTCCCCTGTGCTGGGAAAGGGCATGGTGGATCTGAGGTTGGAGGGAAGGAAGCCAGCCAGTGGACCTGGGCATTGAGGAATTACAAGGAAAGGGAGAGGCAATACGGGTTGGGAATTGAGTTCAGTGAAAAAATGGGGGCAGATCCAAGCAATCTTTTGATCGCTTTAAGGTCTTTTGGTTTTCCTGAGACTGGAGCCTTGGGAGGGTTTTGAGCAGAGAAGGACTGTAATCATACACATCAACTCTGTTCCTAGACCAGAAGTCGCCATTAAAACCAAATAGCCAAGCAGTTCACCTGCCTCCACTCCGCCTCCTTGAACTTCCCTCCCCTAAGCAGTTCTCTCTGCTCACTGTTTGAAGTGGCATCAACACCCTGCCCCACCCTCAATCCCTGATGAGTATTCTTTCCTTCCTGGCACCGACCGCATGGCAGTATAGAACTGCTTGTGGACTGTCCTCTCCCCCACCCAATGCAAGCCCCCTGAGGTCAGGGCCAGAATCTGTTCTCCCCCAGCTGTCCCCAGCCCAGATGCTGATTTCAGATGCTGATCTCTTGGAATTCTGCATTGTTATTCAGGTCGGGGCTCCATTGTCCTCCTGAGAGCAGAGGGCCCTGACCAACAGTATCTAAAGTAGCCCCACCCTGCTGAAGGCCTTGCAAATTACACTCCATGACCTCCATCTGTCCCCAGTCCCCTCTTGGATCTCACTTCTCCATCTGTCAAAAGAGGTAGGGCAGGTTGGAACTAGAGGGTTATCTGAGGTGGTTTCTTCAATCCTGCCTCCTCTGATCACCCTTTTTTAAAAAAAGTAATTTTTAAATTTTCAAAAGAATTTTGTTTTTAATAGAGACAGGGACTTGCTTTGTTGCCCTGGTTGGTCTGAAACTCATAGCTTGAAGCGATCCTCCTGCTTCAGCGTCCCAAAGTGCTGAGATTACAGATGTGAGACACTGTACTCAGCCTCAGACCACCCAATTTTAAGTTCCATGGAACCCAGCCACCCACTATCCCATTGCCCTTATTTTACTTTTTTTTTTTTTTTTTTGAGATGGAGTTTTACTCTTGTTGCCCAGGCTGGAGTGCAATGGCACGATCTCAGCTCACTGCAACCTCCACCTCCGGGTTCAAGCGATTCTCCTGCCTGAGCCTCCGGAGTAGCTGGGATTACAGGCGCCCGGCTAATTTTTGTATTTTTAGTAGAGACAGGGTTTCACCATGTTGGCCAGGCTGGTCTCCAACTCCTGACCTCAGGTGATCCACCCGCCTCAGCCTCCCCAAGTGCTGGGATTACAGGCGTGAACCACCGTGCCTGGCCTATTTTATTCTTCATACATCACTTTGATCAAACCCTGAAGGATCTTGTTTACATATTTGCTCGTTTTACCCTATTCTGTCCCTTCTACCCCCACTAGAACATGGGTTCTAGAAGGCAGGATGGGAGTCTGTTTTGTTCATAAATACAGCCCCTACTCGTTCATAGTTAAGTCAACAAATATTTATTGAGTACCTACTATGTGCCTGATATTCTTTCAACAGATATTTGCAAAGCATCAAATTGTGTACCTGGCACTAGGCCTTGGTGATCTAGTGGAAAGCAAACGCCCACAGGATCCCTGCGTAAATAGGACCCCGCATGGAGAAAGTGAATTCTGACTGGGCCTGGAATAGGGAGATTCATATTCCCCACTCAAGGCCTCAGTTTCCCCCTTTGTAAAATGATACTGCAGGGAGAGCTGGAGGACAAAATGACCGCCTCTGATCCAGCCCAGCTACTTTCTTCGTATGCGGCATCTGAAACCATGATCTCCAGGTTTCCTGTAGAGGAGCGGGGGTTCCCACTGGAAGCGAGGGGTAGGAGTGCCTACGTGTAGGGGGATGGGGATGCAAAGACCGAGCTCTGCCCTTAACCCAACAGGGAGGAAGTCTTCCCCTCTCTGAGCCTCAGTTTCTTCCTGCCGCAAATGGGCATCCCAGACGCCCCCAACTCGCAGGCAGGAAGATCGGACCAAAGTGCTCGGCAAAGCCGCGAGCCAGCCCGCGACCACGTGGGGCAGTAGCGGCAGCGCGGGCGGAACCCAGGCTCCGCGGCTCGCGGCCTGCCCGGGCCTCTGCAGCTGGGACGCCGGCGGAAGCGGGGGCGCCAGTAGCCGCGGACCTCGGTGAGTACAGAGTGGTGGGGGGTCGCCGGCAGGTTCCCTCTCCCCGGCCCCAGCTCTGGACGCCTACCCCAGTGCAACGCCCGCAGTAACGGAAAGAGGCAGGACCGCGCCTGCAGCGCCGGCTGGAGGGACGTTCTGGTCCCCAGACGCTAGTGTCAGGGACTGTTTGGCGATCGCCGGCTGCGGGAATGCCCCACGCGGGTGGGGTGAGGAGAAGGGAGAAGGCGGAAAACTCCTCCTCCGGAAAATAATAAATGGCCACGATAACAGCAGCATCGGTGGCAGTCATCCCGCTTTACCTGGAGCGGAATCGCTCGGTCTGAGCCAGGAGGTGGGAAGAACGTCCAGTCCGAACGCCCAGGGCGGTGTGGGGAGTGGACGCCTGGGGGCCGGGAGGACCTGCTTAGTATAAGAAAAGGAGAGCAATGGGTGGTCAGGGCGGAATTCAAAGGAAACTGACCGACCCCAGGGGAGAAGGGGAGGGGAGAGATTCTGTGCTTGGGGTTCTGACCTTCTCGGGTGGCCCCATTTAACTAATTTGCATCAAGATTCAGCAGCCGATGGTGTGTGTATGTGTGTGTGTCTGTGGACACGTCAGCACCTTGGTTAATTAATTAGGTCTGGTGGCTTCTCAGTTGACAACTCAGCTGGTTCCCCACCCTGGCAATTGTGAAGAGTTGGCCAAATGTTTGTCCACTGAGCTGATCTCTTCTCTGGAGCACCAAGGCTACCAGGAGAGAGGTCTGTGAAACCCTTGCCCCTGCCATTGACCTAAGTTTTGGGCTCTTGAATGTAAAAGACTAGTTTTGCAAGTCGTGGGGGATGGGCTTGGGCATTTTTCCCTGAAACCTTCGGAAATCCTTGCCTTGGAGACTGAAAGGATAAAGGCCTCTGGGGCCAGGTCACCAGGGAGAATGGATAATGCCTGCCTCTGCCCTCCTGGGCACACCCTGTGTGACCTTTCTTTAACCAGTTTCTTATCAGGTTACACCTTGGCTCCACAGTGTGTCTTTCTGCATGGGGCACAGGGGAGGGCCTGAGTTTGCTCCCTCTTCCTCCACCCTCTAGCTCGCACCAAGGAAATGATTTTTTTTTTTTTTTTTTGAAACAGAGTCTCTGTTGCCCAGGCTGGAGTACAGAGGGGCGGTCTCCGCTCACTGCCACCCCCGTCTCCCTGGTTCAAGTGATTCTCCTGCCTCAGCCTCCCGCGTAGCTTGGATTACAGGCATGTGCCACCACACCCAGCTATTTTTTTTGTATTTTTAGTAGAGACAGGGTTTTGCCATGTTGGTCAGGCTGGTCTCAAACTCCTGACCTCAGGTGATCCGCCCCCCACCCCCAGCCTCCCAAAGTGCTGGGATTACAGGTGTGAACCACTGCACCCAGCCCAAGGAAAGATAAGACCTGCCAGCTTCACTGGCCACTTTACGAAAATGGGGATTGCATCAATGTGACCAAATCTCCCTTGTTTTTTTTCTTAATGGAGAATACAAGGCCCCATACTGACCCTCCCTTAATTTCATTTTATCCAGGGATTTAACAGAATTCTTTGGCCACTCTAATCCTCATCTAATTCATTTAGTAAGTACTCACCCTGGAGACTAGGGTGTTTCTCTTGAAACTCAAGTGTTAACCTAGGCTCAGGAAAGACCCTAGGGGCTAGTGAGGCCTGACTAAATTGGAGTGACAGTAGTCAGAGAAATTAAAAAATGCAAGCAGGGCGTGGTGGCGTGGGACTGTAATCCCAGCTTCTCGGAAGGCTGAGGTGGGAGGATATCTTGAGTCCAGGAGTTGGAGATTAGTGTGGGCAATGTAGTGAGACCTCACCTCAAAGTAAATAAATAAGTAAATGTGCTTTTAAAAAAATTAGAAAATGCAAGGCTGGGCACGGTGGCTTATGCCTGTAATCCCAGCACTTTGGGAGGCTGAAGCAGGTGGATCAGGAGTTTGAGACCAGCCTGGCCAACATGGCCAAACCCTGTCTCTACTAAAAATACAAAATTAGCCGGGTGTGGTGGTGCGTGCCTATAGTCCTAGTTACTCGGGAGGCTGAGGCAGGAGAATTACTTGAACCC